CCACAAGCGGGGAGCCTGTTATGAAACTATCATGGCAGTCTGAATTGGGACAGTGGCAGTAGAGTGGAGAGGTATAGACAGACTTGAGAGGGACTTGGAGGGGCAATGAAAAGCACTTGGTGACCAACTGGATGTGTGGGCAGAGGAAGGATGACTCCGTATTCTAGACCAAAATAAGAAAAACAGGAAGAGAAGCAAGTTTGGAGAGAAAGATAATGAGTTCAGTGTTATAAATATTAACTGCGGGTAACTGCAGGGAGAACATCAAGTGAGGAGTTTAACGTATAACTCTGGAATACAGAATAGACGCATTCAGGATGGTGGGGAGAAAGGAAGGTAGAGAAAAGGAAGTGGCACTCAAAACACAATCCTTGCTTAGGTGCACAGTCCAGATGGTTCTATAAAATAGAACCAGAACTAGATGGATACCTCGTCAAAATAACTCCTCTACACATACACACACATATATACACACACGCAAACTGTACTTTAATATGTCTTATGTGTTCATTCTGCACCTTTTCCTCCCCTCCATTCAACATATATTAATTAAGCATCTACTACTATGTGTCTGGTACTATTCTAGATTCAGGGCATACAGAAGTGAAAAATTCAAAACCCTGCCTTTGGGGAGTTTAATTTTTAGTGCAGAAGACAGTCAATAAGCAAGTAGCCAAATAAATATAATTTTTCAAATAAATAAGTGCCATGGGGAAAAATAAAGCAGGTAAGAGACTAGAAAGTTACCAAGGGGAGATGGGAAGGAGAACTCTCTGAAATTGGGTAGTTGTGGTCAGGGAAGGACACTTTGATGAATTGACTATTTTTTTCTTTTTGAGTCAGGCTCTCACTCTGTTGCCAAGGCTGAAGTGCAGAGATACAATCATGGTTCATGGAAGCATCGATCTCCTTAGCTCAAGCATCCTCCCACCTCAGCCTCCCAAGTAGCTAGGACTACAGGCACACACCACCATGCCAAGATAATTTTTTTTTTTCTTTTTGGTAGAGGCAGGGTCTCACTATGTTGCCCAGGCTGGTCTTGAACTTTTGGGCCCAAGCAATCTTCCTGCCTCAGCCTCTCAAAGTCCTGGAATTACAGGCATGAGCCACCGCACCTGGCCTGAAGTGGCATTCTGTATGGAGACCTGCAGTGATGGACAGGGCCATGTGAAAATCTGGAGGAAGAGCTTCAGGCAGAAAGAAGAGCAAATGCAAAGGCCCTGAGATAGAAACGAGCATAGTAGGATTGAGAAACAGTCAAGTAGCCAGCTTGGCTAGAATAGAAAGAATAGTCACAAGGTGTCTGGTGACATTTCTGGTACTATTGTCATATATCATTAACCAATAGCATTGTAAGCATTTTCATGGATTTATATCCTATCTTTTCAACTCTGTGTAAGTCCACTGAGGGCAAGGTCTATGTTTAAACTTCTTTCCACCACAGTACCTAGAACAATACCATGCATATAGTAGGTGCTCTTTCCCCATTCATGTATCTGTGATTGCGGATCAAGATGTCTAGGCCTGTCTTTTCCCACTCTCGAAAACTTCCTGGCTAATCTCAGGTGCTACCTACCATGTGGCAAACAATTGGTGAACTATTTCTAGTATTTCTGTGTTCAGTAAGAAACACAAGCTATGCCTACGGCAATATAGAAAAGCCAGACACCTAAGTTCACCCTTGCTGTTTGCAAACCTGAAAATTTTACCCAGGCTCTAATATTGAAGACTGAAATTTAAGGAAATTCTTCACATGCTCGGAGAAGCTGTTGGCTTTGCCACCACTCTTTGCTTAAACATTACAATAATATTATTATTATCCCACAGGGGTGTCATGAGGATTAATGAGACATTTTCAAATCACTTTAAGCTACTCCATTGGGGGTACTAAATAAATGGTACGTGTTCCTATTCAAGCGCCATTTTTGACATTGATTTGTTGTGATAGGTTCTAATGTCCAACAGAGCTGGAATGTGCCCACCAACTCATTTACTATAGACAATAGACTAGCAGTCAGAGGCAGTGGTTCTCAGTTAAGATAAATATGAATTGAACTACTCAGCAATCAGAAGCAAATAGGTGGCTGTTAGAAATCTAGTATTTATTAAGTACTCACAGTGATCAGCATAAGAGTTACACAGTGTGATACAGTAGCACAAACACTGGATTTGGAAATGGTCCAAGATTTAAGCCCAGCTCTGTCACTAACTAGTTATGCAAGCTTGAACAAATTGCTAAACATATCTGGGCTTCAAATATAAAGTAAGGGCTTTCCTAAGAAGCTCACAAGCAGAGTTTTCCAGACAAGGCAAATACATGAAAGCAATGGAAACAGTCGTATTGGAGGGGGAGAAACTTGACAGCAAGGAGAAGTTGTGGCCATCCATCACAGAACCATTCACTGCTCTGGTCTTTCTTGCCATTGATTAATATTAATTTCAGTACTAATTCCTGCAAAAGAAGGAATAAATCACTTTCTAAGTCAGGCATAGAAGTGCATGAAACATTTGGTCTTTAAAAATAGGGTCTTTGCCTTTCTGTGAGCTATCCTTGCAGCAAGCAATGTCTCATTTCAAGATTAAAATATATGAATGATTGATTATACTGCTACCCTAATCACCAGCTCAAAAAATATATGTCCAGTAATGAGGTGGCTGCCACCCTTCGGTGTTCTGGAGTTTTGTGTGAGAGAGAGTTTTTCATTGCTGCTCAGTTTTACCATCTCACAATATATGTGACTGCCTGCAGCGCCGGACACTGGCCTGGAGTTGAAGCAGAAGATGAAGGGACAGTAAAGAACACGGGTATGTGCTGTGCCCAGAAAAGTCACCGCTGGAAACCCTGTGGAATAGCTGAGTGGTGTACACAACTGTGATGTGTTTTCCCTCGCGCCTCATCCCAAGAATCCCAATAGGCTCCAGGACTCAAAAAGAAGAAGCGTTGGCACCTCAGAGCAGACTTCAGAAATGCAAAGAGCCAGTCGTTGGGAAACTCAATTCAACAAATATATCCTGAGATCTCACTTTTAAAAAAAAAATCTTTTTTGAGTAGGGGTCTCACCTGCTTCCCAGGCTGGGATGCAGTGGCATGATCACTGCTCACCACAGCCTTGACCTCTGGGCTAGGGCAATCCTTCCACCTCAGCCTTCCAAATAGCTGGGACTACAGGCCCATGCCACCATGTATGGATAATTTTTTTTTTTCGTTCAGAGATGAGGTCTCACTGTGTTGCCTAGGTTGGTCTCAAACTCCTGGGCTCAGGCTATCCTCTCGCTTCCTGAAATGCTGAGATTACAGGTGTGAGCCACCACGCCCTGCCCAGTTCCCACTACTGACAAGGCACTTTGGTAGTTCTACAGACATAGACTGGGTAAGACCCAGTCTCTGCCCTAGAAAAGCTCATGGTTGGAAGTGGTGGCGGGAAGTAATGACCTCAAATCATTAACGTCAAATCAAACTGTCAGCTGACTTTGGATGGGTGACTAGCTGTCTAGACAACAGTTCCTTCTTTTATAAATTATTTGTATGATACAAGTTTAAAAAAAAAAAAAAACACTCGTTAAAAACTAGGGTTGAGCTCTATTAGATTGCAGACATTTCTGGAAACACAAATTGTGTTCGAAGTGACCGCAACAATTTGGATAAGTAGTTTTAAGTCCAAAGGGGAAACGTGTAAGATCTCTCTGGGCCCAAATCAAGCAACACAGGTGCAAGTCGCAGAAGGAAGGTTCTCCCAGTTGAACAATGAGAGGCGCCGCAAATCCCCCACCACAAAGGGAGGGCTGAAATGCTCTCGTTCGGCCCACGGCCGACTTAAGCCACAGAGCTGGCCTTGCTAGCTGCACACGTTAGCCCTTGTGAATTCCCTTTCATTTTCCTGCCGACAGGAAATCTCAGCGTACTGTCAAGACCAGGCTTTCCTTGCTAATCCCAAACAGAACCGTGGCCCTTGATTCTTTCCAGCGGCTGAAGTCCCAGCTACGACAAAAGCCAGGTCCCTGGACGCCTTTAATGACCCACTTCCTCCAGCCTCCGGGTGCGAACCCCATCAGCCCCCACTACTCCGTTTGGGGCTCAATGATTTCAGAGCCCCCCCTCCTCCCGGGCCTGGCGGCCTCCAGGGAGCGCAGGAGGCCGGCCTCAGGCTCTCCCGGCGCCCAGGGCGCCCACCCAGCCTACGACCCCCTCCTCCACCACGGGGACACGTCTTGGTCCTCCCGCCGCGCCCGCCTCCGCCTTCTGCCTCCCTGGGCGGG